AGGTGGAGGAGCCGGCGAGGTCGCGGTGGCCGCCGGGCCTGGAGGGGGTGGCGGTGGGAGCAGAGGTGGGGGAACCCTTTTGTAGAAGCAGTCGTGAAGTCAATACTACTATTCAGGACAAGGCGTGCCAATCTCGGAAATGTGGTCGGTTCTAGTGCCGGCAAGATCGATTATTGCAATGGTGCTCTTCAGGCTGAAGCAATGGCAGCTATGTATGGCCTCTCATTCGCGAGTGATGGCATTTCAAGACTAGAAATTGAGACTGATGCCTCTGTGCTGAAGATGGCAATTCATCTACACTGGATATGGCCTCGAATGGTGTTCTATTTTGGGACTTCAAGTTTCTAATGTTCTCTGAGTTTGTGTTTGTAAGAGTTTTACAAATTCCCAGGTCTTGTAACCTAATAGCTGAATCTCTAGCTAAGATGGGTGCGACTTTAGGGTCAGGCGCTATTGATCTCTAGCTGGATTGTAACCCTGATGATGTAAACTCTTTAGTAGCCGTCGACCATGTGTTGGCCTCAATTTAATGGAAGCATATTCCTATCTCAAAAAAAAAAAAATCTCTATAAGACGAATCCTGAATTCCTGACATTGACATCAGGACTAAATTGGGCCCTGTGACGTATAATATATCATATATGTCTGTTCGAACCCTGCCCTGGTTCGATCGAGCGGCCGGAACATGAGCCAATGCTAGGGTCCGTTCTAGCACATGGAACATATCAAACATATAACTAAATCATTTGTGCTGATATTTATCCCTAGTTTCGTACATCATATGTAATAAGTCACAGATACCATTACATTGTCAAAAAAAGTTAAGTCTACTCTATAAAGGAAAAAATTAATCTCCATGCCAATTGATGTTGAAGCAAATGATGTATCCACTAGATGTTTGAAGGACATTATCTACAATGAAACACCATGACATCAGAGATCATACAAATGTAAGCCAAATTTTCCATGCATTAAGAAACTAGTAACAACTTGTGAGAAAATTGTCAAGTGTATTTGTAGCTAATATGCGTTTGGTAAATACTATAAAGGTAGCTTTAGATAGGTTAATATATAGAAGAGTATGACATATTACTGAATGAACATAAATTTATTGGAGAGAAGTTAAGAGTCCAGGTCGACGACAGTGGCATGCTGAGAGTAGCCAGTGGGAGAAGCGCAGCGGATTTTGAATTCAGTTACACATTCGTTGTGCATAAACCGACAATAATGGGCTGGGATCCACACCGAAGCCACACCAATCCAAGGTGTGCAAGCGATTTTTAATTTACCCACCCCAATCCACTCGTTCATTTGCAGAAGACAAACCAGCTTGAACCCATTAAAATCCATTTCCCAACCCACCATTAAAATCCATTTACCAAACCAAACCTGACACTGGACCTGTGGGTTCAACACACTAAAATCCATTTCCTAACCCACCATTAAAACCCATTTCCCGACCCACCAGGCCAACAGATGTACACCTCAAGCTAATGTTTATATACAGCCGTCAACAGAAGCACGGATGAATACACTCGATGCGAACTCTATTATCTACTGTGAAAATTTGAAAAACTAAAAGGAACATATAGACTATAGACTAGCTCTTTATATGAAAAATAGATAATCTAGGAAACCTAAAAAAGTTTAACACATCTAGTGTTCGCCTAAACAGATTAAACGGCCGTTTAAACGGCCAGTAAATGGTAGACGGTGATAAACTGTTTTGTTTATGAGGTAACGAAAATTAAACGGTTGACCGTTTAAACGGTCAAAAAACGGGGAAAAACGGCCTAAACGGAACGGAGATAAACAGTATTAAATGGGCTATACAGCTGTTTAAACGGCCATTTAGGCGAACACGAGGTAAATCTAGTTCAGTTTTGTATGGATAAATTTATATACTTAAGTTTATTATATTTATAAATGTGTACACTTGATATGTTACATGCATAAATATCTATATTTGGTTCTTTTCACATGCATAAATATATATACATACCAAAATAATTGATTTTTACTCAGATAAATATGTATAAATGCTAGAATACTTGATTTTTTACATGCACATATATAATTATATGTATTTTTTTAAAGTACAAAACCGTTTAGACCGTTTAACTTCGTTTAAACACCGTGTAAACAACCTAAACGCTAAACGAAGGCGACCGTGTAAAGACTGTGTAAACATATACTTCTAGAAACAAAATACAGCTTCTTATTAAGCTAGCTACTACACAATCCACTCAGGGCCGGTCACCATCGAATTGGCCCGCCTGCGCCTCTTGGGCCACCTGCCCACTGTAGCCGGTCCATTGTCGCCTTGTTGCTGGTCACCAGTGGAAGCTGAGGTCTCTCCATTGCCGCCCTGTAGCCCGTCATGAAGGGAAGCCGTGGCAGAGGGGGTACTCACAGACAGGCTCATGTCCTCATCCTCTTCTTCCGCTGGCGCAGCACTCTCGTCTGAAACAATATCGCCACCACCGTTCATGCTCGCAACAACATGGCCACCACCGTTCATGCTCGCAACAAGGTAAACCAGGTGGACGCGCGCGTTCCCCGGTCTGTTTGGGAGCATCCAGAGCTCGGTGCAGTCGACCATGTTTGTTTCGGTTTCCAAATCTCAAGCCAATTCATCAGTCTTCAGGGTCCAGATGTCGAAGGCAGTGGCATGCTCAGAGCAGCCGCAGTGGGAGCAGCGGTGGGGTGCCATGCTGACCAACTTCAACGCACCGCGAACATTGGTGCACACGAAGCGTTCACGTCGGTGCACCACCGACTCGGCAGGGTACGGCACGTATGGGAGCTTGTTGGGACCCTCATCGAGCACGTAGGAGAAGATGACGCCGCTGTACTGGTCGACCCAGCAAAGCATTCCGTTGCCGAGGGGCACGACGGCTATGGTCTCCCTTTGGGCCCAGAGCTGGTTCCCGTCTATACCGTGGCTGCCATGCATGGATGATCCATGGCCGCTTCACAGACCACTTGCCGTGACGGAACAGGAGGAGCTCGAAAGCAATGGGGCTTGCCGGTGCCGCCGCCGCGTCCTCCTTGGACCCCACAATAGTAAGCTCCACCACCACGAACTCGGCCTCGCCATGGCACAAGAGGCCAGTGGCACTTACGTCCAGCCACCACCGCGATGGGAGCAGATACAAGGATGGCGGCCGTGCGGGGTCGGCCGCAGCGGCACCCACGTTGTTGTAAACAAAGTAGTCGTACGTGTAGGGTGCCAAGTAGCTTTCTCTCGAAACAATCTGCACGAGAACAGAGCCGCCGTGCGCCGCGATGACGGTGGAAGAGGCCCAGGGTATATCGGCTGTGCCGGGCACAAAGCAGAGGCAGATGCGTGACAGCGCCGAGAACGGCTCACGACGGAGGGAGACGCTGATGCGGTGGCCGTTGGAGGTGGCGGCTGCCGCGATCGTATTTGAGTCGCCGGTGATGTTGCGGGCCTCGCCATAACCTCCGCCATAGGGTGCGAGCAGCATCCACTGAGAGGCGGTGGCGCCGGGGGCGGCCGATGAACATGCTGGAGGTAGTTGCGATTGCGACGACAGGAAGGAACCCATTGCATGGGATGGGGGCGGCGCCGACGTCGCTGCAGGTTCGTCGTCTTTGTGACGAGCAGATTGGCAATCTATTTTTGCGTTGGCAGCTGCCTGATTGACAATAAAATCTGCCGACCAAAATCCCCAGATCCCAACCCCTCATGTTTTTTTGTTAGTTTCCAAAATTGAAGGATTGGTGGGCTGCTTTTTTTTTTATTAGCGGTGACTTCGTGAGGATTGAGGAATATATATGGACAATTAAATTTTTATACTAAAAACATACGGATCGCACGATAAGATAACAATATAGTGAAATTAAATACAGAAGTTAAAGTGACATTTAATCCAAAAAGCAAACTAAGTTCGTGAAATTAACAGTTACGGAAAGCGCGGTGTCGTATGCTCACAGACTCTACTGTATAGACCTTTCCGTGATGCGGCTTATCAACCATAGCACAGTGTTTTTCTCTCATAATAAAACAACATCAGCAGGCTTATCAGCCGCAGAAACTATCAGCCGAACAACCCGAATTTTTTATATCGGCAGGAAGAAATCTTCGATGTCCATTTCTTTCATGCACCAATAAATCCACAAATAAGTCCCGCCACATCTCCATACCATCCTGTACACAGGTTCAAGTATACATGTAAATATTAGTGCATGTCACATGGTTAATACTGCGTGTCTTGAAAAATCTCTAACAAAACCAAGCAGCAGACGTTGCGAGCAGCAGTACACATGCTGATGGAGGGGAGTCGATGCACGCGTTAATACTGGTGGCGCGGGAGGGCGAAGGTTTATTATGTAGCGAAGAATCCGATGGGTTTTGTAGGTGACACCATTATATGCAGTCGAGGAGCCCTTTGCAGCCGGGCGAGGCCGCAGGACGGGGGTTGCGTGTGATCGCGGGTGGGGGTGGTCTTGGCACGGGCGGACGAAGACGTGAGTCTCTGGCGGGCAATGGTGCAATTATAATCTGATAAAAAATGAAAAAGTTAGCCTATGATTGAGCACGATTGGTTTTTGTTTCTATCTATGTATCTCTTGATTAAGATTATGATTTGTGAACACCTGTTTTTTAGAAACAAGCGCTATCATGCGCCCTCATATGTTTTGTATTTCATCATTTATTTTTATACAGGAAACATATACGTAATGTATTTTAACATTTATTTTTATAGTAGTATGCTCGTGCTAATGGTACGGTGACTTTACAGTTGTGCTAACGCGGTGGGGATGATACAATAGAAGGGACAAGCATAAGAAACTAAATATAAGATAACTGCTTTTTCAAAATAGACATGACTGGGTGCAATTTTTTTTAGATAAAAGGCTCCCCCGTTTTATTGCCATAAATACCTCCAAGTTCTCAGAATCCTGGTGACCTAAAGTATCACCTTTTTGCTATTGTTTCAACAGGATTGTACAAACTACGCACAAGGCATTTCTCATGCAATAGTCCTCTCCTTCATGATCTGCAATGTAAATTCGTGAACTACACAATTACTTCCACATTGGAATATTTTTCCTTGCTATGCCAAAATGAATATTGTTTTCAGCCTGAAATTCAGAGGCTCTCCTAAAGTAATAAAAAGAAATTGGTTCAGAATGTACAAATGGATCAGGATCAATATACCTTCTTGTTTGTCATTTTTTAGTAAATCAATATAAAGGACACGGTGATACCTACTGAACAGAATCAGACATGAATTAATTATTATGTTATATTTAAACTATATGCTATAACATTTAAAATATTTACCTCCCTGGCACTCATTGAACATTAAAAAGAATATTTTTAAAGAAACTACGCTACATCCTATAGTATTTAAAATAGAAGTGCCTACCTCACTTTCAGTTGAAGTTTCCTCATTCTTATACCATACTGAATCATTTTTGTCAGCCGCTGTTTGATCTTGTGCACAATAACTTAGGCCAAAATTCCTTCATGACAAAAAAGCCAAGAAATTAGCAGAGGACAAAATGTCTATACAAGGTTATAAATTTTCAGAATGTGGTGAGAAATAGAGAGCATACTTTCTTGCTTTCCGCTTCATTTCAGTTAGTGGCACTCAAAATAAACAAACATGCCAAACATCTCAAGTAGATAATACTGCAGATAAGCACAGGCACAACTGAGTTTAAATGGAAGTAAAAATTCCTGAGTGTCAGTTCAAACAGTAAAGCAGTGCACCAATTAGCAAATCGCAGATGGAATCACTCTTGCCATCCACAAATATATTAATTGGTTAATCAAGTATTATATATGTCAGTGTAGTATTTATATCACTTAGTTAACAAATTTGACATCAACAATAGAGGAGTAGCCCTTGCCTGATGTGGCTGATTTGCATCTGCCTGTTGGAGGCTATGACATCTTCCCTTGGTGACTTTGCACCGGTGGTTCCGTGTAGTAGTGTAGCCATCGCCGCACACAGTCAGTACGCTACCGGAGAACTGAATCTGCCGATTGCAACCTCAGGTAAAGGGGTGAAGCAGGTGGTTGCTGCTGCCTGCAGTCATTGCGCCCGTGCACACAGCCATGGTAAAAAATTCAGAGTTGAACAATTTCAGAGGTGAACAGTGAGCCAGTTTAGATGTGAATATACTTGGTCAGCCTGATATCAATTCAGTAAACAATCTCTACATCTTGGGGGAGGAGGTCATTTCAGAGGTGAACACTACTTTCAAAAGACCGCCAAAACCAGCATCACTGCAGGATTATTAGTAGTAAATACCTAACAAAAAGAGGACCTAAGAGCAATCAGCAACGCGATCTAACATCTTTGTGATATTATTACTGACAAAAAAACAAAGGCACCGCCAGCTCATCAGTTTGCTTCACGCCGACACCACCCAAACTCTACAAACACCATAAGCCCCAGAAAACGGTGCGCAAAGCCGGGCACACCACACGTAGGCAGGCCCCGGCTCGCACACACGCACAGAGAGATCGATCAACCATGCCACCAACAGGAAATTAAGGCAACCCACCAAGCTAAGGGTACACTGACTTGAGTCTATTTTGGTATGCCCAAGGCAAGAAGCAAATAGCTAAGGTGCTCTTAGCCAAAGAAAGGTAAAACAAAGAGTAAAAATAAGAAACAACACTATCCAGGAAGTAAGGTAGAACATACAGGCAAAGATCAAGATCCTCAATATTGATCAAAGCACCATTCAAAGCCATCAATGACTTGCCAGGAGGAACCATCCGCTGATTTGCAAAAAAAAAAAAAAAAATACAGCACAATGATGTTCCAACGATCAATGGCTTCTGCTCTGTTCCTAATAAACCCCACCTGGCCATCTGCTCCTTAGCTCCCGATCATCTAGCCTCCCAAGACAGCAGCGCCCTCCCTCAACTCATGCCAGAGATGCATTAGCAGTACAGCCGTGACAACACTTGAAGGCTCATGGCGAGGTTGACCAATGTTTCTCATTGAAGATTTATCAATCATCCTCTGAATCATTAATAAGGGATGGTCTTACTATATAGAGGCTGCTTTTCTCTATCTATTTTTTATATCAAATGCATTACTTTATCGTTAAAGAAATCATTCATCTTTCTGTCTCCCATCCCATTAGTGCTGTAGATATAACAACAGCTTATAGCTTCAGTAAGACTGAAAATAGCAGGTCAAATTGCCAAGTCCTTAGTTCATGTACTTTGTTGTTTGCTCCCTCCTACACATGCACACCGTACATAGCCTAAGGAACAGAACAAATCTGCTACTCTGCTTCTTGTTTAAAAATGCCCATACAATTTTTTTTTCTCGAACACGTAAAATGCTCATACGGTTCTCACCTCATATGCTAAAAACAGAAACGTGGCTTGATCACAGTTAAAACTACACTTGCATATCCTGCTTCAAGCACAATAATTTTATGTGTTAGTATTGGGGCTCATGTAATAAAAGCCAAGTTACCCACATCATCATTCCTTTTCGCGGGCACCTCTTGCTCGTTGCCCCTCGCATCAGCTTTGGCTGCCTTCTCATGCTCCTTATCCTCAGTAGTATATATATAGTGCAAAACAAGAGAGGGAAATCTTCTCAAAATCAAGAAACTGGAAAGTTCAGAGTGATGTTTCGTTGAAATGAAGGTTTCTCACCTCGAAGCAGACAGGGCAATTGGGATGTATTGCTCTTTTGACACAGCAGTGTGGGAATCCTTCATGACATTGTTGTAGCAACACCCTGTTTGATGGCAACAAGGGAAACAGGGGTGCAAATAAAATCTTTGTTGCACAACATGCAATGGAATATTAGCAGAAAGAAGTTTGTGCAGAAACTTACCACATTTATCACAGTGAAACAAGTTTATCACAGTGAAAAAGGTTATCTGCACCACCAGTTCTGAACAATTAGCAAAAGTTAGACTTTTGAGCGGTAAGTGGAAGACTGCCTGTCAGTATGGTAGTTACCTGCATATGGCACATCCATCACAATGGTATTGGTAATTTGAGACCTGGAACAGAACAGTGTTAGATTAGGAATCACAGTGTTAGACTACCTGTTAAAATCAGGCATACACGCATACTGCCCCAAAAAAAAACATATACTCCAATATTTCTTTAACATATCAACATAGCAGCTCATCCATATTTTCTAGAGAATTCTTTGTTATCTAGAAAAGGTAGGAATATTTAGGTAGCCATTATATGCCAATACGAAGAAGAATCAGGCATATATACTGTACTCTCAAAAGAAAAGAATAAAATGTGATTGCTTTAGCCGATTGACATCTCAAATTCACCGCTGGTCTGCTACTATGTCCAGGTGCACCTGTTGGGGCACATCACTTGATGTAGATAGCAAACACGACACTAATCATATCCAATTCCAGGTCCGGTCATCAATTATGCAGCAGTCAGATCTTGTTCAATTAGATGTAAAGTGGAGAGTAATAGGGGGAGATGAACCGAACAAAGACTACGCACCTTGGCATCGTTGTGGCATTGGCGGTAGCAGGGCGCCATGACGCTGCATCCTTCTGTAATGCGCACACCTTTTGTCAAGGCAGACACAAGAGACGTGCGACGTTGGCCACGGCGCACGACGGCGAGGACAGCGGGCCGCAAGACGGCGAGGACCACCTGTGTTTCCGGCGTCGTGGAGGGGGTGGCGTGTCCGGCGGCTGCACGTCCAGCCGCCTCGACGGCAAGGCAGATCGTGGAGGCAGCGGCGCGTCTGGTGGCGTCGAGACGGCGGCGCGGCGGCGTCGAGGCGTCCGCCGGCAGCAGGCGCTGCTTCGCAACGGGGAGGGAAAGGAGTCATCGTCGTCGGCAGATCGGGGCAGGGTGCGGACGTGGATTGGGGCGGAGCGAGAACGACGGCGCGGGTCCTTCTCCTTCTCGGCGAGGCGGCGGAGCGCGGGGCGAGGACGACGGCGCTGGCGCGAACGGCGAGCTCGACGCCGCGAGTGCGATGAGCTGCTTCGCGGCAGGGAGAGAGGCGTGGGCGAGCGTCGGCGTCAGCGTCAGCGAGTGGAAGGCAGCGCGGGAAAGGAGGCGGCAGAACCCGTATCTTTCTTTCCTTTTAAATATCGCAAGGGATGGCCACGCGTCGGAGCGAGGATGCGCGAACGCAGTAGGCAAGACGATAGATCCATGTTTTGGAACGTCGTACCAAAAAATATCCACGCTTTGTTCTTTTTATTTATATATATATATATATATATATATATATATATATATATATATATATATATATATATATATATATATATATATGCCCATGTGTAACACCGTGTCATAATTTTGTAAACTGAATCTCGGTAATCGATTGGGGACGCATGAGCTTGGAGAATTTCATATCCGACTTGGACACGTAGACAGTACTAGCACTCGGACGTCCACGGCTGCTGCCCACCCACACTAGGCGGGGCCTACCCGCGCTGCTTCCCGTGTCCGCTGCTACGCAATGCTCCATCCCTTTGCTTCCCATACGCATGCACGGCGCCTCAGCAGCTGCAACAGGCGGCTGTGGCAGATGAGTCATATTGCAACATGTACAACACCCAATCTATTTTTGAAATATGCAGATGAAACTTTTGCAACATGCATATGCAGAAAGATAAAACACTTGAAACATGCGTCTGAAAGACTTGCGAAAATATCTAAAACACTTGGAAAGCCATTGCAATACATATGCAACGTCCTGACAAAAACACTAGCAAACATATGTGTGGAACATACGCAACATCAAAATAAAAACACTTGTAACATACATCTGAAAAATCAGATAAAACATTTGAAATAGACACTTACAACATACGTGTATAGCCATTGCAACATATGTAATATTCTGATCTACTTTTGGAACATCTATACAAAATATTTGTAGCATACCCTCTGAAATAACTGCAACAATTAAAACATACATTTGTAACATATATAGGGGGAGATAATGAGGCCGGTCGAGTCCGGCCGCCAGGGTGGGAGCCGATGGCGTGCGAGCACCCCATCACCGACAGCGCTCGTGGGTGCCCCTTGGCTCAACTGGAGACGACGCCTAGCCACCAACAGCAGGGGCAGCGGCGGCGGCCCGTGGTGGCGACGCATCCGGACAACACTGGGTTGGGGAAGAGGCCGGGGAGGCACTCCGCTAACTGAGGAAGGAGACGGCATGGTCGACTTAGGTGGAGGAAGGAAGCAACGGTAGCAGCGTGGGGCTCTGCTGCTGCCAGCAGACACGAGAGAGAGGCCTAGAGATAGGGTGGGCGAGATGGAGCGGAGAGATAGAGAGACGGGCGAGGCGGAGTGGAAGCTGCGTCCGAACTAACATGAGCGGACGGACGCCCGCAACCAAGTATTTCCGAAACCGGGTAGAATGCGGATGCATGAACTCCGAGTGAAGGACAATTCGTATTGGACGCGGACGTGTGAGTAGAGTTCAAGATTTGGTATCACCAGATAAATGATGATGTCAGAGTCTTTTCAGATTAGATAGATATAGAGATAGATGTAGAGGAAGATACTATAATCTATCTATATATATACACTATATAAATATAAAAGAGTGAGGAATTGTAAAATACCCGGAGCTAGCCCCACCAAGCCCTACGTCGAGGCAGCCGCAAAAGGCGCCGGGAGGCCGACGCACCAAGATGCCAAGCACGTACGCGTACAGAGCTGCGTTTGCCTTCCGCCGTCAGAGCGAGTGCGCTGGGCCGGAGCGAGCGAAGCTGATGCCACAGGCCGGATCGGAGGATGGCCACTTCACGACGCAACACTCGACCCGGTTGAGATGAAGGCGCACGGAAGACGGCTATGCACGGCAGAACAACTCCGGCGCGCGTCAGGTCCGGTAGGTGGAGCGTGGAGGCCGTGGAGCTCCGTGCAGAACAGATGAACGTGGCGGCAAGGTTGGAGAGAAAACGATCTCCACCAGAAGAAGCAAGGGGGAGCAAAGCTGAGACAATCTACTGCCCGTGGCGAGCTGCCTGGCGGTACGTAGCTATGAATCTTCGTCCACGCTGGCCGTCGATCCAACACGGCGCGCCGGCAACTCGAGGAAAACACTCTCAACGGTGGCAAGAACGCTCGCTGCACCATTTGGATAGATGCCGCCGACACGGACATCGCCGTTGAAGTCGCGACCAGCCACCAGGAGGACCGGATGGAAAGACCAACGCAGCGGCACATTTGCATCTTCGCAAGCGCTCGCCGCGCCATACTGAATCAAGGACGTGTCCAGCACCAAGCAAGGCAGCGGCAGCATGCATGTACAGCATGCTCACGCGTACGAGCTGTGCCGACCTTTCCGCTCAGCACATGCATGTGCCTCATGCATGTATTGGAACATGGACATACGGCATCGACGTTCCACTGCGCAGTTCAAAGGACAGGATCTCCATGCAAGCTAATTGAACTCCATGTTCAAAGTACTGTACCACTGCTGGAAAAAGAGACTTTGCCGAGTGCAAAATTCTTTGCCGAGTGTCAAAAATCGGGCACTCAGCAAAGAATTGCACTCGGTAAACAAGGGCACTCGGCAAAGGACTTCTTTGCCGAGTGCCAGACTCTCGGCAAAATCTCTACACTCGGCATAGGCTGCTCACGAAACGGTGTTCGGTCACGGCCTTCTTTGCCGAGTGCCTGCTGTTAGGCACTCGGCAAAGATTTGATTTTTTTAAAAAAAAATTCTTTGTCGAGTGCCCCAGATCTGACACTCGGCAAAGATATAATTTTTTTAAATTCTTTGCCGAGTGTCTCGTGTCTGCACTTTCGGCAAAGAATTTTTTAAAAAATACTTTGCCGAGTGCTCTGCACTCGCACTTTCGGCAAATATTTAATTTTTTATAATTTTTTTGCGAGTCTTTCTTTGTGGATGCACTTTCGGCAAAGAGGAATTTTTTAAAAAATTTAAAACCCTCTTTGCCGAGTGCCTTATGCCCGGCACTCGGCAAAGACACCCTCGCTTGAGTGTGCTATGCCCGAAGATTCGGGCAAAGTTTTTTTTTTTTTTTGTTTTGGCCTCTAATTTTTTTGTGCAGCCTTTTTAAAGCACCAGAACTCCTAGTTACAATTTCAGGATTTTTGTGGCTTTTTGATATATTTAGTTATTTTATTTACGTTTACTTGATTTTTTTCCAAAATAGAAATTTTAAGCTGCACGTAAATCTGAATAATGGAATTTAATGATTCAAAATTGATAGTCATGTTAGTGAGTGTTGTGAGAGGCCGTATCCGAAGCAGATCCAAAATTTGGACATCTTGTTCATGAAACATGTCATGAAATTGCGTGTGAAGTGTTTTTAAATTCTATAAAAAATAAGCGAAGTCAAAATCATGAAACTTGTTGAGATGACGTGATATCATATGTGGAGGCTATGATAAAAATTTTAGAAGATTTCATGTTATTCGATTTACAAACGCTTTTTTTTACGTGAATTTAATAACATATGGAGATGTCACGATTTCTAAGGTCATGTTTCGTGACATCGTGAGATCTAATCTATCACATATCAACAAGATGCTCATCATTTTTCAAGTCATTAAATTCCATTATTCGTACTAATGCAAGCTTAAAATTTATATTTTTTCAAAAAATTCAAGTAAACGAAATAAAATAAAGTAAGCTAAATATAACTAAAATAGCTTCAAAAAGACCCTAAATTCTAAGGAGAAGTTTCTGGTCCTTTAAAGGGCTGCACAAAAAACTTAGAGGCCAAAAAAAAAAAAAAAAACTTTGCGAAAGTGTCGGGGTATGGCACTTTCGGCAAAAGGCTCTTTGCCGAGTGCAAAAATAAGACACTTTCGGCAAAGAGGGTTTTTTAGAAATTTCCTCTTTGCCGAGTGGCTTTACAGTGCACTTTCGGCAAAGGAATTAAAAATAAAAAATTTACCGACGGCGGATCGGAGCACTTTCGGCAAGTTGCCTCCTTTGCCGAAAGTGCTGCTATCTCGGCCTTCGGCAAAAGCGGCGCGGGGGCACTTAGCGATTTCGGCCGGCCGGCGATCAAACCTCTCGAACAACCCGACCAGACCATCCAGCGCTCACGCCCGCCCCCTTCGCCCGCCCGCCCGCGCCGCCCCTCCGTCCCGTCGTGCGTGCCGCGCGCTTCCCGCCCCCGCCGACCACCGGCGCGCCGACCATCGAATCGCATCTCGCCGGAGCACGCTCGAGGACCTCCGCACAGCCCATCGCCGCATCGACCTCCTCAAGGTAAACGAGTCACAGGGACTCTCTCTGCCCGTTCGCTATTGATTCGTCATCCATTTCCTCTCCTTGCCCAGGCCGAAGCCGTTATGAACGCCGGCGGCCTCCGCTTCCGCTCGCGTCGAGCGTCGAGAAAAAGGAGGCCGTGGCCGCCCGCATGCGCCGACCTCTCCGACAAGAGCAACAAGGAGTGCCGGCTTCTGAGCGGGACCTCGAGCGCGCCATGGAGTCCTGCGACGACCTCGCCAGGCTGAACGACGATGACCTCTGCGCACGCCTAAACCA